TAAGGATATAATGAAAATACGCTACGCACAAAAAATACATTTTAGGAAAAAAATGAGTTGATTTTTTATGTTTTAAAACTTCTTAAATTCATTTAGTAAACATCGTATCCTCGTTGTTTTATTGAATCCAGAATGTTGGTGTCGTTTATATAATTATTCTTACTTGTCCACAGAATCTGCTGACTTATCCAGCCATTAAGTAGCTGCAGATCATTTCTACATAACCATTGAACTTCCATTAATTCAGTCTCTAGAGGGTTGTATGTTTATATCATAATTTGACTTTTATAAAAATTGATTATTCTAAATATTATGTTTCTATAAAAAAAATATATGTGCTTTAAAAATATGGATAATAGTATCAGCCGCTCTTTCAGCCACTTCAAAGCAACAGTTTGTTTAGAATAAATTATGCAGTTAATGTCATAAAATTCAAATAAATATCAAACGAAAATTCTCAGTTTTAGACAATTCGATTTAAACGAAGTAAACGAAGTAAAGTAGCAGACGATAAAACGCCGAAGGTAAAATTTACTCTTACAAAAACTTACTCTTAAATTTTTTTAAAAAAGAAAAGATACAAGAGAAATTAAAAAAAATTGTTAAAAATTTGAATAATATCATCTATAATTTAAAAAAATAGCCTTTCATATAGTATTAATAAATATTTATTACGCATCATTGAGGGAAAAAATGTCATATAATTAATTCTCCGTAAAATTTTACTTGAAGTTTTTAAGGTTAAAAATAGCTGTGGCAATTCAGTGTAACAAAATCCATAGACCACATTTGGCGTTATTATCGCTCAAAAAAAAGGTGCCAAATTTCAAAACGCGAAATTATGTAAATTCGTGTATATCTTAGAAAATTTGATTAAAAAAAAAAGTCTAATTTTTTTTTGCAGATATGCTTAAAAATACACCTACTTTAAGATGATGGTAAAAATTTTATAGGTTATAATTCAAAATTTTTTTTTCGAAAAATCTATAGAAATTATTTAAAAATAAAATTTAAAAAATAAAAATGCAAAAAAATGGGTAAATTTTATTTGGAATGAACCAAAATTTCGAAATGTGAGAGAAAAAATTAAAAAAGTTTAATAAAAAAGAGATATTAATAAATATTTGCCAAATTCAATTAACATTGAGGAGCTAAAATTTTGAGAGCTAATATTTTAAAAACTATCGTATCGTACGATTTTTACAAAACTTGGTATTCTGGCATAATTTGAGTCGTAGAATCGAAATATGTAAAAAAATTGGTATGTTATTTCAGAAAAAGTCCGATTTTGTGTCAAAATACCTATGTTAGAATAGTACTATATATAAATCTAATATATATCCTAAGTCGCGCTTTCGAAACATGAAAAAACTAGTTTGAATTTTGTCAATCGCCCCCGTAGAACGGGAGATATAGCACTGTCCCATTTTTTTTTTGAGCAGTGTACATGTAAATCATGTACTAAAATGTAATTATGAACTTTATGGTGCGGTACACATACACGTACAAACAAGAAATACAGTCAAACTTTTTCCCCTTGAGAAAAATAATTTAGAAACAAATTCTAAGAAACAATCTCCATGATACTCAACATACGAAGCACAATAAAAACAATTTCTTACCAAGTTTCAGTCAACATTTAAAGAACTTATCCAATGTGATCTGATGCATTCTCTTGATGATTGCACATGAACAAAATCGCCACAAACATCTAATGCAGCAATGGGACTGCCTTCATTTCCCTCCTGCATGAAATACTGACGCAAAGTTTTAATGCATTTCCTTACATCCAGTATTGTCACTTGCACCAAATTATTAGCGGCATCATTATCATCATTTCCTTGGTTTCTGATGCTGTCGTGTGTTTTGCTGCAACTCGAGCAACGATTGCAGTGTTGTAGTCTTCATTTTCATCGTAGCATTGAAGCTCATTGTCAATGGATAAAAATTCTTCGCAATTTTGTACCTGTTGAAGTTCCACATGTAAATCATCATTTTCACTTTCAATGAGCATGTCCACATCCATCTCCAAAACCAAGTGCTTAAAGCCATACTGAGAAAAACAGTTCTGAATTGTCTCACTGCTCACTTTTCGCTAGCTGTCGGCCACAAATGTAACTGCTTGTAAGATGCTGAAATTTGCACTGACTTCACTGGCTTTTGATGATGAGGTGAGCAAACTTTCTTCAAATGCTTTAAGGATGTAATTAACCAACTTTGCACGATAAAGGGTCTTCAAATTTTTTATGATGCCCATGTCCATTAGCTGGACCAAAGTTGTGGCCCTGGGAGGTAGAAATTCCAGTTGGACGTTCATCAAGCAACAATTGTCAAGAAGAAGCAGCACTTTTTTCGACTGGCATTGTAGTTCTCTGTTTCAATCCTTCAGCCATTCCTTAAAAAGTTCAGACGTTATCCATGCATTTCTGTTCACACAATACACAACTGGTAAACTCTCCATCCTAAGTCCTTTAAAGCAGAGAGGTTTAGTGCTTTTTCCTATAACCAAGAGCTTCCTCTTGTTCGTTCCTGATATGTAATTTTCAAAAAGCTCGGGCAGTTTTGTTGATTTCCATTCTTCAGCATTTGCACTATCAGCACTTTCTTTCTCGCCATATGCTTTCTTGAATTTTATGACATGTCTAGATTTCCATCAAGACAAAAAAAAAAAAAAAAAAAAAGGTTTGTAGTTTTAAAGTTATCGTGGCCCAGCTTTTTAGCTAGTTCTGCTTTGCATTTTAACATTGGGCTGCTTACTTGCACAGATTGTCCAGTAGCAATGGGCCATTCATTAAGGGCCTCATCGACATCTAGATTCTTGCCTTGACGCTTCCGTTTTTAGGAAGTTTCTTCTCGTTCTTCACATTGTGCACATTCTTCTCGCAGCTCATTCTCTTGTTTTATCAAGTGCGAAATTGTCTTTTCCAATCCGGTTATTTTCACCAACTGATGCTGACTAGTGTTTCGTGTTTGTTGCTTGATCTTATCCAGGCAACCAATTTTTTCAGCTGAAGTCAAGTCCTGTCATGGCATTTTGGCAGGGAAGACAAGACACAAGTTCAGACTAAAGTGGTCTGAAGAAACCTTGGTGTTGAGGTTAAGAGGGAGATAAAATGCTCGCCATTCAAAGCTTTGGCACTAAAATCACCTGAAAAATGTGATGAAATGATAGCTTTCTTGCGTAAACTTTAATCATGATTGATAGGCGAGAATTCGTTTCAGGTGAAGCTGGACATTCTATTGCTCTTTTCTCGAAACTCGAAGGCGCAGGTCAAAGAAAATGGTGTGCGTGTTCACCTCCCACCGATTTTGCTTTTGTCATGCACTTTAAGGAATTCCTGACCTTTGATAAAGCATTTTCCTGGGAAGCCGCAACTACAGATCCTCCCATACGTCGCAGACCACCTGTACATCCGCTGTACGCGGCCGACTTGTGGCTTCTGTTTCTTATTCACTCTCATATTTTTCGGTCAGATTAAATGGAATTTTGGTTCATATAAGCGAATAATATTAGGCTTATGTACATAGGATTTGTTTTGGTTCTTTAGGATTTGTTCTGAAAAAGCAGCTGGTCTGATTATCCGGTGGTCCAATTAACCGGATTCGACTGTAGTTAAAACACATACTAAGCACTCAGAGAACAACCACAGCTATTATATTTTGCAAGTTTAAAAAATAATACAAAAATTAAAGATTTTTCACGTCTTGATGCACAAAATTCTTAATTTTACTACACTTATGAGATGCTTTAAAATAAAACATTCATTGATAGTTGCTAAATATTATTTATGCACACTTAATAGTAAAAACATTTATATTGAAGCAACCTAAAATTTTTATTTTAATATTTTTTGGCTACAATTATTGACACAAAAATGCCCAAATAAAATATACAAAAACAAGAAATTTTATTCTTAACAATTATACTGATTTTAAGACATTACAATTTCTTAAAAATTTCAATACAATAAGCCCTTATGTATATTATTTTCTTTTTTGAATTTATATTAAAACTAAGATTTTTTTAAAAAATTTCTGTTATGTTAATAAAACCCAAACCTAAAAAAATTCTGGAACAATTAAATTTGGTATATTCAATTTTATATGTGGGCATTTCGCCATGAATAGAGTGGATCGTATGATACTGGCAAAGCACATTAGAGCTAAAAAAACCTAAGGAAAGGATACCCTTGTAGAGGACTTTTAAATATTTCACCAGGAAAAGATGAAAAGTTATTATATACTCTGTATTGATGTGCATTCAGACAAAACCTGTTTCTTCATAATAATAAAGTGGCTGATTCTTGACATGTGAAATAAGAATTTTCATTTTTAATTGTTGCTTTTATTTTGGTTTCCTTCTTTATCTCATATAAATAAATACTCCTTTGCATCCTATCATATTTAAATTAAGGGAATAATTTGCTACAGGAACAAATTTTTATAGCAGATTATTTCCGGTCAAATTTTATTTAGAAATTCACGAGGATGATAACTGCTCCATTTATATAAAAATTGACTTTTAGCATTTTGTAATGTGGAAAGAATTCCCTCATGCAATTATTTCCTAAATCATGTTTAGACATGTTTAGACAAATTCAACATACTGCAAAAATTTACATTCCATTATTCTGAAAACTTTAACAAAAAAAATTACTAAACAATTCCTGGCTACCACCCCCAATGCATAATGTTTCTTATTAAAACAGTTCTGGGTGGCTTTGGTTTTGGCTAAACATGTTTCATCTGACAGAAGAATTTAAAACTGCTTTCCCACACTGAGTGACTGTATGATAATTCTAAGAATTTTCATAAATAAATCTTATATTATATCTATCGTTTTGGAAAATGACAATACAGTTATTTTTTTGTTAAAATTAGCATTCATGATGTAATATATAATATCTCTCTTGTTAATAAAATGGTTAAAATCTAATTTCCCTTTGGCAAAATAAGAAAAATACACAAATACAATGAAATATTTTTGAAAATATAAATACCTGTATTCCAGGGTGGCTTAGGTGGCTCTGCAAGACAACCTTCCATTGAAACTAGGACAGACATCACATAAACAAAGCCCCCAACTTTTCTAAAAACCGTTCGAGTTCTATGACTCTCTCGCAAGACAAAGAGAAGGGACTACAAATTTAAATGCAATTCAAATTACATTTATATATAAATAATATACACAAATGCATATGACATAAAACATGTAACTACATTTAGTTATGCATTCTTATAAAGTTTGATGCTATATTAAAAGTCAAATCGAAGCCACAAACCATTAAAATGGAAAATTTAGACATCAGTAATTTAAGAATACTTAGTTCTCTACTGTATAACTAGTAAAAATTTGGAACTTGAGTAAAGTTCTATTTTAGAACAGAATTAACATACAAATAGCTTTTGAACAAATTGCTTTATAATGGCAATTCTACTCTAAATTCAATTTTAAAATCAAATTAACTTACAAAAGGAATTTTATATATTTCAATAGACAGTATGATATGAATTTGTCTTCTTAAAGAAGATATATGTACATGTATACAATTTTTCAGGTTAAAAATATCTTCATCATCTTTATGAAAGGAACCTGAATCTTATTTTTTTAACAATATATGACAATATCTTCTAACGTAAATAAAATACAAGTTTGTATTAGCAAATCAGAATACTGCATTGATAACATAGCTTGCAAAACAAGTCTCTATTTAAAAAGAAACTTGTTTAAGTTAGAGACTACACAGGGGAAAAAAAAGAATATAAAAGGTATTCCACATTTCTTAGCATGCTCAATTAGAAAGTTTAAAATATCTAATTTATTTGCAACATAATCAATAACTTTAAAACGTAAAAAGTAAAATTTTCCATTCTTCTTACTTTTTTAAAATAACTTATATTAAATTTTGGATAACATTTTTATATTTAAACATTTAATAATACAGATTCAAAAAAATTTGCTGAAAAATCTTGTTACTTAAAAAATATATATATATATATATTTTATCTTAAATATCCCTTCACTAACCACAAAATATTTCAATACATCACAATAAAAAAAAAAAAAAGCAATTAATTTTTGTATATTTTATTTTATCCAGTTTCTAATTTACTTTGAAAAACTAACAGATGTTTTATAGAAAGCAGAAAAATAAAATGTGTCATTTGTAGACACACAATAAAACATGCATATACCTTTAAAATATGAGTTTTTAAATCAAGGGCTAAAACTGGTGCCGTATGCATTAATCCTAACAAAGTTCCCATATCGTCATCTCCACCAACACTCAACACAAGTTGTTGGACAATGCCTAGTGCAGCTTGACGACATATATGATAAGGAACCATATTATGAGCACAACGAGCACCACCACTTTCTCTGAATACACCTAATGAAAGTAGTAATAATAATAATAATAATAAAATAAAATAAAAAAAACAGGTTTCTTTCAAATGAAATACATAAAAAATATTGTATTGTTCATAAAACAGAAGCAACATGAAACTGCTCTACAAAAGATGACATTCTGATTTTCTACTTAATAAGACATTTTGTTAAACAGCAATCAATAATAAGCAATGGACTGAAAAAAGATAAGTGACTAAAGATAATAACAAAAATAATTTATTTATATGTAAAAAGTATTAAGGTTATAAGCTACAATAAATAAAAAGTATCATAAAAAATAAACTATCAAAAATGTAAATGTCTATACTTTTATGGAATTAATCATTCTGGATGTTTAAGATTTTATTCTAATTTTAAAAAATTCACGAAATTTATTTGCAAATAATTTAAATGAAATAAAACTACATCTTATTTCTCTTCTACATCCTCGAGAGAGTCTCCATTAAAATGGGAAGTCTGATCCCATATTTTTAATGAAATTTTGCTGTAAATAACAATGAAAAAAAGGATGATAACCTTCTTTAACACTTTTATTGGGAATTATAGAGATAATATTTTGTGATTTTGCTATTGAATTTTTTAATTTTAAGTGGCATAGGTGCGAAAAAAGTGATGTTTAATACTGAAGTTGATAAGACACATACATTATGAATTATCACATTAATACAGACCATGACTCAACTGGCAGAATTGAAAAAACATAGCTGGCAGAATCGAAAAAGGACAATATGATAAGTGATGACCATCTACAAACATACTGATGGCTTGGATACATGACACTGTAATGAAAGATGCCTTTAAGACATACTCGACAGCATTATGAATAGTTGTCAGACTTTGACAGGGATTGCATAATAGGGCTAAAAGAGGTTGATTGGCCAAACAGGTGGATTAGCTGGCATATTGGTTGAAGCAATATGGTCATTGCCTATTGCTGGAACGTGGCTCAGCATAGTCGGTCACCGAAGTGGCTCAGGACTTTCCTGGGCTACCAATATGTGAGATGATAGGTAATTAGAAAAGTTGCCACATCCACACCAACAGTTACGCGAACATCATTTGACAACTCGCAGTGTTAGAACGAAGTCTCAGTTTAGGTTAAACTTACATGCCAAACAACAAAAATCAGTGTTATATTTGCAAATTCTCCAGGACTAGTTGCCAAAAGTATATTTGCGCTTTGACAGCTGAGGAAGATGGTTCGGTAGTTCAATCATCGAAAGTAGTTCTGCAAAATTTGCAAATATAACCATTGATTTTTGTTGTTTGACTTCTAAAATAACCAACTCTCAGTTGTCATCTTTCATTCCTAGTTTGACATTGTAAGAGTGGCAATCTTCTGATTTTGGTTCTAGCTTAATATTGTTCTATGAATTTGGAAATAAACATGATGCATTTGAATATTATATATAAAATTATTTTATTCTAAGTTTAGCAAGAAATGAGAACAGTTAGTTCTCGCAAATCTTAAACAACAGCCGACAACGGATGTGACTGACAAAGAAGTCAAGGCCAGAATTTTATTGGTTTTATTGAATTTATTTTTATTGAAATGGAATCATTAGTTGAGAAACAAAAAACCTGTCATAGAATCTTTTATGAAAACAATTAATGCAATTTTGCAGAAATTAAAAAAAAATTCTGATGTAAATCAGTGAAAAAGAAACTTGCTATTTTAGAATGTTTAATCTGTTGAACTTCACACATTTGATATTCAAATATAAAATTCAGAAATTTCTTCAAATAATCAGTTTGAAAGTGTATGGGCAAAGAGTACAAAGAGAGTACAAAGAGAAGTTAGATTTAATACGAAAATTCCTTTTCCACTTGGAATTTATTTTCCTTTTCCACTCGGAATTTATTTTCCTTTTCCTTTTCCTATTTATTGCCAATGACACAATCCATTGGCAGCGGGCTATCAAATTTGAATAAACGGAAACTGAAATTACTCAAAATAGAGTTAAAACATATCCGTGGTGACATTAAAGATTGGTTACCATTTTTGCTTGAATGAGATATTGTGAATAGCTTCCCTGTAGCTTCCAAAAAAATATGAAAAGGTTTATAGAAAGCTTAAGATAGAGGTTCGGCAGGGAAGAATTGTTAGTGGAATTCTATATTCAGAAATTATTAGATCTGATTATTAAAAATGTTACTCACAAAAAGGAAAATTAAGGTACACCAGAATTGTATGACAAGTTAAGATCATATTTACATTTTTTGAAGTCGATAGGTATGACAAGCGACAAATACGCCACAATGATGCTTCCGAACATTGAATCCTGCAGTCTCGAGGAAATTTTACGAGTTTGGCTTAGAAGTCATGCGTTAATAATTACAGCAGCAAATTCTCATTCTGAGAAATCAAAAGAATTATTGTTTTTTTAAAGTATGACATGGTAGGAGAGCAGAGAATTTCTTTGGTGAAAGTTGGATTTAAATTGATTGATTCAGGTGCAAAGAAAGAAAGTAGAAGAGATAAAAGGTACCAGGGAGAACATTTCGTGCCTACACAGCGAATGATTTATTTTCAGGCCATAATAAAGCAATCAATTATAGTGAAAACAATTCTTGCACATTTTGTGAGAAAAATCATGAAGCCAAAATTGCTTTGTTGCTCAGAATATGACTCCGAGTTAAAAGAATGATGAAATTAAGAAGAAGAAGGGTTGCTTATTCTGCCTGAAAACTGGACACGAGGAAACGCAATGCAAGACAAAGGAACAATATTTGACATACTTGAAAAGACATTGGGGTGTCATTTGGAATTGTTGAAGCAGCTGCAGGTGCTAGAGAAAGTAAAACTGATTCAGAGTTAGAAGAAGTGTGGGATCACTTTCACAAGACTCTGAAAAGGGTGGACGATCGATATGAAGTCAGTTTTTCTTGGATTAACAAGAAGCTTTACCAAGCAACAAAGAAGTTGCTGTAAAACAATCGATTTCTCTGATAAAGAAGGTCCTGCTGAAAGATAAATTTGAAATATACAATGCTGTGTGCAAAGAATGGCTTGAAGCGGGAGTAATAAAAGAAGTACCAGAAGAAGAGCAACAAGTTAACAATCATTACCTTCCTCCACAGACTGGTCTTCAAACATAACTGTACAATAGCAGTAAGACCTGTATTTGACACTTCATGCAAGCAAAAGGATTTCTGGATTTCTTGTTGCTTAATGACTTTCAAAAGGTCAAAATTTAATTGAATTGGTACCTAGGTTGCTTCTCGATTTTATACAAGGAAAAATAGGGATTATTTCAGATATTAGAAGAGCTTTTCTTCAAATATCTGTTCAGAAGTGATTGTGATTTCCTGATTCCTGTGGTGTAAAAACTCCGAACAAAAGGAAATAAGAAAATTTCGCCATCGCAGAATAGTCTCTGGACTAAAATGCAGTCCGTTTTTTTTAAGAGCAGTGATCAACTCTCATTTAGACCAATGTGAAGCTTCTTCTAACGAAGTGGCAACAAAATTGAAAAATTCCTTCTGTGCCGACAACTGTGTCTCTTTAAAGAATTCGAATAAAAAAGCAGATTACTTTATTGCAAAATCAACTCAGTCAATGGTAAGTGTTAACTCTGACTTAAGAGGGTGGGAGTGAACTTGGTCTTCTGTCGGATAAATATGAAGATTCATTGTTTTGTGACATCCCTAGTGTCGACTTGATTGATCTCTCAGTGACAAGACGAAACATATTATGAATTGTACTGAGAATTTTTGACTCAATAGATTTCACCTACCCTTTCACACTCTTTCCAAAGTTATATTTGCAAAAGAGCTGTAATGCAGAGATAGCTGAAGATATCAAAAGAAAATTCTTGAAGTAAGTCAAAGAATTATGTTCAGGTTCTGCTTTCCAGCAGGATAATGCTTGGCCACATACAGCACGACTTTCCTAACAATGACTGGCCTGCTAGGTCTCCATACCTTTCGCCTATCAAATAAGTTTGGGACATGTTGGGCAGACAAATTCAGCCGTGTGCAAATCCATCCCAACTCATTAAGCAGTTTCTCCATTTGTGGCACAATCTATCACAGAGAGACATTGGCAACTTGGCAACTTAATAGATTCCATGCCCAACCCAGTATCGATTTGTATAGCTGCCAAGGGTGGCTTTACCACCTACTGATTTTCATATTCTTTGTATTGCTACTCATAAGTAAATGCTTTTTTCACCCTGGTTTTTGATAATTTGTTTACCTACTTGAACACTATACCAGCGTTCTCAATCTTTTGACTAACTCATACCACCTAAACAAAAACTAAAAACCTTTAGTACTACTACCACCACCACTCTTGAACAAAGCTCGGATAGCTTAAATTTATGAGTGTGGAGAGAAGACTAAATCAGGATGTTGGGGTTTTAATTTTTGAATTTAATAATTAAAAATACTTTGCTTCTTTGCGTACCACCAGTGGTACATGTGCCATGGTTGAGAACCCCTGCACTATACTATTGCTGAGCTTGGTTACTGTGACTCAATTCTTTCTCAGTGCATATATATATATATTTTTTTTCTTTTCAGAGTGGCTATTAAAATTCTAAAATAACTGAGTTTTATGCAAATTTTCAACTTCTATCCGCAGCAATATATTTTTGCAGTATATAAAAATTACATTATAATACTTTTAAACTTTCCATAAATTTAAAACTATAATTATGATTTTAGCTGTTACTTATAGCTATACTGTGCTATAAATTAAAAATATAAGATCTTATGAGAAAAAGTTACAGACTTAAACAGTAGCACATGCAATTACAATTTAAACACAAAGAAACAGAAACTGTATTTTAATGCAATATGTTTCCGCTACCTCACAATAATACATCTGGATATGGTGTAAATTTAACTGCTGTTTACATTACAACACTAACATAAAAATAGGATAGAAAAGAATTAATATGTAATATAATAATTACAAATGATTCAAAGAGACATAGTCTAATGTGAGAACATATAAACAAGCCTAAAGGACAAAAATATCAGAATAATTCATTCTTACTAGCATTATTGGAATTAGAATTCAGCAAAGCTGTTAAGGCCTCCATTACTAATGATCCTAAGGTTAACTGATCTTCAGGTATTTCACAATTAGCTGGAAAAAGGTAGATGGCATATTAGTACTTGAATTTCAGCATCATTTAAATAATAAACAGCAATGAACACTGTACAAATTTCAAAATATCTCATTAAAATTCATTGTGTGTTATTTAAAGCACTAGCAGCCAATTTTTGCATTTTTGGAGGCAATTTTAATTCTTGTTTTGGACCCATGGATCGCCCATAGCAAATATTTAGAAATATGTACTAGCTTTAAAACTGATTACTTTAAGGTTCTTGTCGTAGTAATTTTAAATAATCTTCGTAAACATTTTTGCAGACAGAATAACACCAAGGACAAAAGCATGACTACACAAAATTTAATACACTATTTGAAATACACCATGTGTTCAAATCAAAAGGTGGACCAATCACATAGTAACTATAAACATATAAGAGACATATCTTACCTACTGCATATGATATATCCCTCTTTTCAATATGTGTGCCAACAAATTTTAATATATGCCTATCAATCTTACAAAGTTTAATATACTCTGGATGACAGCAGTGATATTCATTTTCAACTCTTCCAAGGTGGAAGTATTTTTATGTATTACAAAGTTTGATTTAAGTGTCTCCCAAATAGTAGTCTATACTGGTAAGATCTGGAAATTTAGGTAGTCATAATTATTGGCTATGATTCCAATGCCAAAAATATATTCACTCAGTATCTTTATGATGGTATCTGATGAAGGATATACTGTATAACTTTGCTGTGTCAAAGAATGATGTTTATATTTTTACAATAAGGCAATAAATATTTTGGCAGGTCCCAGCATTCATGCTTATTTAAAAGAACATGATAATTTAACACTTTAATACAGCAGATTAGATGCTAATTTCTACAAGATGAAAAACAGATTCAATTAACAATTGTAGATTTTAAGAACTTCATGTTTGTTAAACTTTTGTTACGGACATATCCAAAAAGGAGGAAAAAAAAAAAAAAAAAAAAAAAAAAAAAAAAAAAAAAAAAAATCAATCATGCCTCATCTTGGGGGGGGGGGAGGGATCTAAAATAGTAATGATACACAGATAAAGCTCTTATAAAATAACAGTTGGAGAGAAAAAACAGAATATGATAGTCTTCAAAATTGCTTTTAATTGTAAAAGTTTTCAGACCCTCCTTAAAAAAAAAAAAAAAAAAAAAAAAAAAAAAAAGAATCCAACACCTTTACACTAAACTCATTTATGTTTTCAGCTATTGCAATTGAAAGTGAACACCTCATGTTTAAGAACAACATTGGTCTCATTATTTTGTGAAAATTAAATACTTACAATATTATGAGCTTCTAAATACGTAATCTACTCTTGAACTGAGCATTCTCATTTTTCTGGAAAAACATTATGTTCTTAAATTTTTAGGCTAAAAATGTAACACAAGCAAGTAAGGTAAGTGCTTATGAGAAGAATAAGTTCTCTAAAGTTAGTTTTTAATGATACTGTTACATAGTTAGCTATTGTTCATATTTAAGTCAAGAAATTAGCTTTATGATGGTTAAAAGTCTGAAAATATATACATAATTGAAAATTCACAATCAATAATAAACATTTTTAAAATTTAATTAAGATTTAGTGCAGATTGTTAGTAGCCTATTGGCTATTACTTATTATATTACATATTATTTAAATTTTTCTTATAATTATTAAACAAGATTATTAAGATTATATTGAAGTTATTGATTAAAGGTTTTATATTTTATATCTTTATGGATTTCTTAACTTTTTACAGATCAGTATGGAAAACGTTCAATATGTCATAAAAGTTCAACACATAACTAAAAATTCACATTAAGTTCAACATGTCAAAACAGAAAGGTGCACGAAACATTTTGAATAATTGAAAATTCGGCGTAGTACATCTAAAAAGGATATCAGATTCATATGAAAATAGTACAAAGCAAGACAGAAATTGCTACATACATTAACAATAAAATTTTTCCGACATATATGAAATGTTGAAGCATAATTAAAATCAGGAAATTTAATTTTTTCATTACATTTTTAGATTAGGAAAATTTTGTACGTAAACATATAGCTCAGGTAGAATACGGGACAAGCATATATATACATTTGAAGGTGATGACAAAAGTTCATAAGATACTTTCTCTGCTTTTGAACAATATTTTTTCGACAGTTGAAAAACATTTTCACAAAGAAAATAAAAATTTTATATGCATAACAAATTTTTGATGAAAATATGGCCAGATAAGGAGATAACTGGTTTTAAACAGTCTTTATTGTAACCGTACTTTGTAGAGACATTAAGTTAATTTGAAGCAGGAGATGTGAAAAATGAGCAACGCCTTCGCCGGGAACTGAACCGCAGAACTCTCAATTACGCGCTGAGCGTGCAGACCACCACACCATGAAGGCATGCTAAGAAGGCGTGAGAAATACCTTAGATACTTCTCCTTTTAAATGGCAACTGGGGTATTTAGGGAACCGAATCGCCAAATCCTGGGCGTGGAGAATCCTCATCCACCACTTTTGTAGTTCGTGTGCCACTGTAGACACATTAAGGTTTTTTTTGGAAGCAGGCAAGGTGAAAAATGAGCAACGTCTTTGCCGGAAATCGAACCATGGACCTCTGGAATACGCACCCAGCGTACAGACTACCACACCATGAAGGCATGCTAAGAAGGCAGGAGAAAAATCTCATACTTCTTAACACAAGAATGCATAAAATGGTCCTATTTCTTCTTGTTAAAACAAGACCATATGAAATGGAATCTACTACAAGACCATATGAAATTGAAATGTGGACTTTTTAGTTCCCGCCAAAAAGAGAATATGTAAACTTTACTAAACAGAATTATTATACAAAATTATCACTATTATTAATAAAACACAATATTTACATTAAGAAGCAGTAAAACAAACACAAAACTTAATTTGTGATTTTGAATATCTAATAACTAAATAAATTATAATGCTACAGAACTTAACAATACCTGGCTTTTCATCTGATACATCAGGGAATGCTTCCTTTAAAATAGCAGCATACCTATGAAGACAAGTAACTAGAACTTCTAAAAGACCAACTTCTCTGTACACATCTTTAAATATAGAATTGGAATGTAGAATATTCAACAAACTCTTCAGACACAATATGCTACATGTTGTAGAGCTATATAATGAGTAATAAAATAAAATTAATTAAGAATATAATTAAAAAAAATAATTTAGGAACAAGTTAAAAATAATGAAATTCAAATGCAATCAAGATAAAAAACATGCCCCCAAATTCCTAAATATTTAGAATATAAAGGAAACTAATTACTGGATATACTGTGCCCACATTACTTTGTGACTGATTGGCCGCTTTCTGTTTTGATCAACCAGCCAAAGCCTAAAACATACAATAATTTACTACTACCTTGTATTATATGTTGAAGAATGTTTAGAATATTTTATACAATTTATCAATTAAGTAGAATAAGTTATATTAATAAGTTTTCGAACTTTTACTGATGAAAGAACGCATTTATTTATTAAATGCTGGAATTTTTTTTTTGAATTATTAGAACAAAACTTGAAAAATGTGTCTTTACAGTCGAACACTGTTACTTTTGAAATCATTATTATTTATAAACACTTTTAAATATTTAATTAGATATTTAATGTAGTGTATTTTTTCAACCTACAAATATCAGATGTTATTATAATAAATAGCAAACATAAAATTATTTCAGTTACTAATTCCATAAAGAAATAAACATGCTTAATTTTTGTTCTCAGTCACTCACTGACCAAAGCCCAAAATGGTTAACAATCATTAAAAACAAGTATTAGCAAATTATTTCTCTATCCTTTTGGTGATTTGGATAAATATTCAAATTTTAGATTACTAATTGGAATATTTTACACATATAATTCACCTAGATTCTTCATTAAATTTTTAAGTACTACTAAGTTTTTGTGCATTTTGAGATCTGACCAACTCTTACAGGTTAAAATGTGAAGTGACTATGGCTTTGGTTTTAATAAATATAAGTACTGAAATAGAAGTAAATAAAATTTAAATAAATGTATACAAGCATACACACTGAAATATACATATACAAACATAAAAAATGAATGATAAATACAATAGGACTTTTAACTACTTGGGCATCAACTAGCTAAAATAACAATCTCCAAATTCACTAAACACTAAAGCAGATGCTGATGCAGATTTCAGATACAAAAACGTCTAGAAATAGGATATAGAAAATAATTTTAATAACAACTCAGGATTACTTTTCTCTTAACACTCAATAATTCAGTTTTTAATATCTAAGCATTAAAATCGCAATAACAACCTTGTATTTAGCGTACATATGTTAAAATACTCAATCAATCTTGAGGGCAATTAAATGTTCCTCCTGATCAGGAGAACAAAATTACTAGAAAGGGAGAAAAAAAGGAAAATAAAGCATTGGCAAAGGAGTCTCAGAAACACGTGGTCGTTATCAGCACACACGTGGTCATAACCGGATTTTGAATCAGATTTACACTGGCCGCCTACTTTTACTGAGCCAGGCTATCCGATCAAACCTATAACACATAGACTAAAATGCAAACAAATCAAAGAAGTCAAAAAATAGGTAGCGAGGGGCAACTGCACCTTCACACACCAAGACTGAACCTCTGATTTGAGGTTCAGTCTTGGTGCGTGAAGGTGTAAATCTGATTCAAAATTCGGTTACGACCACGTATGTGCTAGTAATGACCACGTGTTTCTGAGACTCCTTTGCCAATGCTTTATTTTTCTTTTTTTTTTCCCTTTCTAGTAATTTCGTTCTCCCGATGAGGAGGAACATTTAATTGCCCTCAAGATCGATTGAGTGTTTTAACATATGTACGCTAAATACAAGGTTGTTATTGGATTTTAATTGTCACACTGGTGTGTTTCTCTTCATCTAAACAGTCTTCTATATTAACCTATCTAATCTTGCTTTTGTCTTTATTTCATTTTTTTCCCATTCTGCTTCAATCCTTCTGCCTGAATTATTATTATTATTATTAATAATTTTATTTCTGATAATGGGATAAACAAGCTTTCAATTTAATGCAGGTAAAAAAAATCACCATTTTAAAAGAGGGAAAAAAGTAGAATCAAAATGTGAGATGATCATTGAGTAGGCTAATATTATGAGCTTTACATTTATGTTAGTTTATCAGAAACATTTAACTTAATCTTGAAATAAAATAGTCAAAACTCAAATAAAAAGATTTATTAAAAATTATAACTTAAAAAAATAAAAATGAATTATTTGAATCCCATCCTACTTCACACAATTCAGATAATCAAGGTTTTACCATATTTTCAAAAATCTCCCATTACCTATAATAAATTAAAAATAAATTAAATAATATAAATTAAAAAATATTCACTCTAAAGCAATTCATTTTCATCATGACTAACAATGACTGTTTTAATCCTTATTTTCAGGAAAGTTTGAGGCATGACGAGCATGACTTAAAGTTACTAAAGAAACAAAATAATGCCATTTTATATATCAGTCTCCTTTAAAGAAGTGAAATGGAATTATGCTTTAAATAAGTATTGCTTTATTAGGTAATTACAGAATTTAAGCCAAGTGCAAATTGTCAGGAATCAGCTATTGCTAAACAGAACTGTAGGAAATATTTTTCAGAGAGTAAATAAAAAACTTACAGAAATAATATTACTTACTTTTGTGTTTTCAGAAGAATGCTTAAACTGATAAATTCTTTACAAGGCACAAAATTCAAGTCAAAAATTACAAATTCTAGTAACTTGAAGAATTTTTCCTATTAAAGAAATTAAACATATAAAAAAAATTATTAAATAAATTTTACATGCACTTAAATATATACAATTCTGGAATAGAATTTTATGTAGTCCATTGCAGCCAGATAAAATATGTTTCTTGTGGAACACATACATTCTTGCTAGTAATTTCATGTATTAAATTATGTATCACAACCTATATTACAGGATAGTAATAATTCAAATTAGTTTTACTACATAGTAAGGAAGTAAACAAGAAAGCTGATGATGGATTCACACATTATTAGTAGACCTTTCTTATCAGCTTGCAAATGTAAATAAATAAGTGCAGCATAACTTTTTCTTATTTAATTATTATTGTAATGAAATAGCCATTTACTGGTGAAAGTCTGAATTAAAATGTATTTTATACTCCATCCCCCAAATGCTCGCATCTGATCTCTTTCGTTGTAAACACCACATGATTATTATTTCACGATTTTATAAGATTTTTTACAAAAAGTTCAGGTTTAAGGAACACCCTGGATGTCATACGAAGGCAAAATTTTCAAAATTAGAAATTGCTTAGATTCACTAAATATTTATTGCTTGTTTTTTTCATTAGTTCCATTTTCACGAAAAAAATAAAATTATGCCTTTTACGCTCAAAATTCTTCATAAAAAAACATAAGCTCTGTACTATAAACTTTTTTAAAGCTTAATGTACCTATAAAATATGTTAAAACATACCTGAATTTCTGGAGGTTTAGCATGGATCTTCTCTGAGAACTGAGAAAGAGTATGCTGACTTTCCAAAATAAAATAATTAGCTTTATCAGAATGATAAACAGTACTGACAGCATCCAATAACAGGCTGCACAAGTAAGGTGTCTGGGCCTAGAAAACAAAGAAGTAATAAGTCTATTATGTGTGATAAGCAATACAATTGCATATTATGCATGAAAAGTATACTATGTGTGATAAACAATACAATTTATTCCTAAACCAAAGTCTCAGTTAAAAATATAAGAAGGGTAAATATGTATAAATTATTACACATGTTTCTCTTCAGTGAATATTTTCCTAAAATGTATGTTTCACAATAGAGAATATAAAATTTATATTTTAGGAAAGCAAAATATTAAAAGTAAATGCATAAACTGAGTAATACAGGATGGGGCAAATAAAAGTGGTTTCCTGAGCCACTTTTATTAGGCCCACCCTAGTATAACTAAAGACATTAAACTGAAATTTTATGCCTAAAAACTCATTAAAAATTGTTGATTATTAACAGCAAAATAACTTGCTATTCTAAAAATCAGAAAATATGATACCACAAAACAGGCTAATCATGTTCCGTCCTTAAATAGTTTTACAGCCGTTTTTCTATGAATACTGAATTTTATTATAACAATAATAATTAAGAGAATAGAAATTTGTAAGCAAAAGCTCGCAAATGTATATTTTAAATAAGTGGTATATTTATGCCAGTGAATGGAGGTATTTACATTAGAGAAGAGTAATTTATATAAGAGATTTTATAATAATATTTAGAACTCTTACAAACCTTCATAAATACTGATTGCAAAACTTGGAATGCTTGAAGATTTCTTACACTTGCACCTATAATAAAAGTAAACAAAATTTCAGTAAAATAAACTTAATTTTTTTAAAGTTATACAACAGATAAGGATATTTTTACATTTACTAATTAATTATACATTATTCTTTATTTTATTACTTTATATATAGATTTGAAGACACCCGGTAGCACAGTGGCTAGCACGTCGCACAGCAGCACCACAGGTCCGGGCATCGATTCCCAGGCAAGCCTTTCATCCTTTGAGTTGGTTGATAAAATGAGTACCATGTTCGCTTGGAAACTAAAAACCAGAGGTCCTGTGACAAGCTGACCCCTTGCACAGGGTATATGCTCATGCACTCTGAGGCCCATAATTAAAAAAACAGATATCAGGGCACTGCTTGGACATGGCTTTCTAAGGGCTGTTGTGCCTTCAATTTTAGTTTAGTTTATATAGATATGAAAAATCTAAATAAATATACATTAAGCATATTTTAATTTTAATTGTGATTTTGAAAATAAATCTATGCTAAATGAATCAGATTAACACACATGTGTATAATTTTTTAAACTTTCTATTTATACCAGATTTCAGCAGAAATAAATTGCGCATATCAGATTTAAAAAAATAGCGCTAACATATTATATATAAAAGATTCTCTGCTGGTGCCAAAATTTCTATCTGTATTAATCAAAAACGAGGAAAAAATTATGAATTAATATTTTTTATTAAAGATTTTCTAAAATGCTATATATTTCAATTATTACAAGTTATTATCCAGGCAGAAAGATACCAAATGATGACACATGCCAAAGCCTAGTTCTTTTGTATGATTCTCCAAATGATTGCAAAATATTTTAGTTTTTGGAGGAGTGGCAGACTTGTTTCAATTTCTTTCAAAATGTATATACATTCACTTCCAAAAGTTATGTACAGAGAGGAAAATGCTAATTTCCGGAAGCCAATCAGAATTGAAGAGGATGCAATTCACTGCAGAGGTAGATGGAAGTATGCAAATATGTTAGGTAACAGCCAATCATGCTTTCATGTCAAGAAATATGCAAAAAAAGATAGTTTTATAAGAAGCCAGCTTTATGAAGGGTTACAGAAGTTGATTGTAAGTGCTGATAAAAGGTGTTTAAAACTTTCATACAATTTGTTTTCAAGACATACATGTTTCTATGACTTCCAGAAGATGAATGGAAGATTCTGAGCGCTGGCATGCTGTGGCGTGCATTGAAGCAGGACAGTCGATCACAGATGTTGTTCTTTTCTTTGATGTTCATCATTCTGTAATTTCACGTTTATGGAAACAATTTCAAACCCCACAGACAGTTGTCCGAAGGCTCGTAGCCGGTCGCCCAGGGTTACAACCTCAGCGGAAGATCAATATATTGCTATTGTAGCCAAGCGGAATCACAGAGCGACCTCCACACATGTGACATCTACGGTTACAGCATCCATTGGTAAGGCGATATCTGCAGCTACTGTATGCCGAACATTACATATGAGTGGACTGTACACCCGGGTACCTCGAGTTTGTGTTCCTCTATTCATCCAATCAAGAGGGACACGATTACAGTGGTGCTGGGAACATGTCAATTAGAATGTGTCTGACTGGGGCAATGTTATGTTTACTGATGAGACAAGATTTGCTCTGGAGCCAGATGACAAGCGTATACGGATATGGCGTGAACAATGAACATGCAATCAGTCCCAGAACATCACGCATTCCGAGGCAGAAGCATTATGGTGTGGGAAGGGATTTCATTAGGATACCGCATCAACCTGCATATCTTTAAATGGGTTTCTTTGATGGCTGCCTGGTATCGAGATGAAGTCTTAGAGCCTATTGTGAGATTGTACGCTACAGCAGTTAGTTATAGCAGCTATTCAAAAGTTTATGTCTCTAGGTACCATTGTTTTTTCATAATGCAAGAAACATGTATTCATTTATGGAAATTCTTTATTATTTAATTTCTTTAAATATACTGTATATATTTTATATATATATTGGTGGCATAATATTTAGTGGCAATAATTTGAAAAGTGAAACATAATTTTATAGTAAATGACCCAAAATGCCGGAACAAAATTAATAGCTCTTCTGTGTAAATTGCCTCTTTGGGCTAATAAAATCAAAGAATCTCTAAGGAGAAGAATGAAAGCTTCCATAGACGCAATGTAAACCTGTTTCGCCTCTGCGCCGCTGTACCGAAGAGCCACGGCTATGCAGTGAAACACCAGCGCAGGGTGAAATTTAAACAGTGCACTTCGAGGAGATAGTAAATTTTTTTACTTTGAAATAACTCAAAATGTTTTATTTTCATACATTTCTGGAGTTTTCTGAGCAAAAGGATGTTAGTTGGAATTTTGGGGCGAATTATAGAAATTCCTGTCCAATTTTTACTTTCAATTTAAACAGCGAGCCGTACGAAGACAAAATTTAAATGAAATAAATTTCTTAATTCTTTTCTTCTGTAAACTTAAAAAGGGGGGAAAACACATGCCATACAAAACGTAATAAATTTTTATGGATCCATAGTTAAAATTTTACAGTGAAATTTTAAAAGCAAAATTTGCAATAACTAACTGAAACAGAAAAAAATATTTAAAGACAATTAAAGGCACCCCTAAATAAATTGAAAACACTGAAATACATTATAATTATCCGACAACAACTTTAAAAACAAATTACCATGAAAACGTTTAGACAATTATTTGGAATGACCATTGTGAAAACCAAGAGCAAAGTTTTCACCCAATAGCCAAAACCATTTCACTTACAGCATTACATTTAAAAAGTCTTTAAAAGAATTTCACATAGCTAAAACCAAGTACCTCTGACTACAACAACAAAGAACGTTTTCGAACAACGTGGTAAAAGATTGCTAACATGGCCGACGGCATGCTATTCTTTGCTTTGTTGCCTCCTGATGTTATTTCGCACATGCGCAGTGAGGTACGGAGGGTGGATATCTTTGGAATGGTTTGCCCCTTTAAAGTAAGCTTCAGGGATATACATAATGTGTCTCTTCCGTCTGACGGAGCCACATTTGCCCCGGGGAACCTTTACTTCTTCTCCTTAGAGATTCTTTGAATAAAATATCAATCTAATGAGTAACATCATTACAGCTCTTCATATCTGAAGTAAGCATGAGAGTATGGCATTAACACCCACATCCATCACTATTCCCCATATCCAAACAATGACCATGTTAACAACAAAAACATAACAGCATCTTTTTCTATATATTCCTTCCACTCTTCTATATGATAAATATTTACTGTCATATGACTGGTAGCTGCTACATATTCATAGATGGAAGTTGGGAAAGATTTGATATCTTTCACATTCTTCAGATGGCATCCCTTAACCTGAAGAAAATCTTCATGCATGAGGTATTTGTTCCTACATTGTTTCCAACTTTGTATCAATCAGCTTGCAGCCTGATCCTCCATTCTTGATAAAAACTAATTATGCTGTTAGTATTAAAAAACTACCTGATATATAAAGGTCACTGGTAATGCTTTAAGGGACCGAATAATTGAAAACATCTATGCTAACCTTATTAATTTTTTCCCCATATCTCCCCATATCCATTAATTATTTTTACTTTCAAATAAACTGATTTATAAAACTGGCACAATTTTACCAAATGTGTCGTTTAGGAATCACACTAAAGACATAATATATACTACATTAAAGATATTTATGCAAAACTGAAACTATATAAGGAAAAATGAATAACATACCAGATAAATGAGGAATTTGAAAGCCAGGCAAGGAATAAAGGGAACCTGTGCTAGCATGGCTAGGTTTTAGCTCAATGTAACCACAAGAAGTGAGGGAAGCGATAAGCAGGACAATATTACGCAGGGCTTCACATGCTTCTTCAGAGGTATTCTGTTCTAGCCTGAAAATAATAATAATTCAATATTAAACATATACCTGATTTTCTAAATAGTTACACTGCAAAAAGAAATAAATTAGGTACATCACTCACCTAAGAAGAAACTCTGACAGAAAAATGTATCCCTGACAAGTTCGAAAGTCATCCAAAATTATCTGTGACACTTCACTTGAGTCTTTCAAGAAGCAAAATACAGTAACAAACATTTCCACAATTTCTAAAGGTGATAACTCTTGAACCCTTTGCATGTTTTCAACACAAAGTGCTATGCAAGCTTTATCTAGCAAACAAGAAAAATTATGTAATTAAAAATATGCTATATAGAAAAGATGATAATTCATATAAAAAGACACAGAAATGATTGACATTCTGTTTAACTTCACCTCTTGTCATTTTGATATAGTTAAAATATAAATGAGATAATGAATAATGCAATCGCAATCATTCAGTAGAGAAAAGGATTACACATATCTGATAGCTAGAGGACAGACATACATTAATGTATACTCTTATATTTTAAGCAGCATATATGATATAATATGGAAAATTAAATTGCAATGAATGAAAAGTAGTGTTATAAATAAATTGTATTACAAAAACAACAGGCAAACTGCACAAGGACAGAGAATTAATGCACAGAACATTCTACAAATGAAATTTACTGCTGAAAAATATGCCAGACACCTAACAGACGATGGAAAGCAATACAGAAAGCTACGTATAGTACAATAGTACCCTATTATTAAATAACATCTACAGCTTACATAAAAATTTCCAAATTAAAGAAATAAATAAGCTTTAATAAAGCATAAGTCAAACAAGAAAGAGGGCCCACCAGCAGCCTAGCGGTAAAAGCCGCAGAACACTGGTAGTTCGGGCCGGGGTTCAAGTCCCGACGAACAGGCTGGCTGCATGGGTGTTTTTTGTGGTTCCCTCCCCCGTGTGACGTGGATACAAGCCAGTTTCCCTTAAAAAGACCTTCATGGGGCATCTCTCCTTTTCCGTGTAGTGCCTAAGGGCGGAGCACGTGACAAGCCAAAAAAAAAAAAAAAAGGGGAAGAAGAAGAAAAAGAAAGAGATTGCAGAATAGGGTAGGCAAATGCAACAACCTAAATGCACTAGTTATTGAGTTTTCATTGCAATCTTCCAACAATAAGCACAAACAATTTCATCATATTTATCATTATTTTGGCAAAAAAGCAGAATTTTGAACATTTTTTAATCTCTTGAAACTTTACATGATACTGAAGAGTGTACGTCTAGTATTTCTTGGCTGTATTATCTCCTCTTAAGGATAAGGCTAAAAAGTCAGGATTCCTTGTTTTCGAAACAGACAAAAGTACACGGGAAATCATAACTGCCCAAGGCTGGCTTTGCTGCTTACCAGATCCCGTGAAAGAGATCTCGAAGGCGGTTTAAGTTCCAAAGGACATTAAGAAAATGTTCAAAAGCAAGCAAACAATAAAAACCTGCTTGGAAAATTTAGCTTTTAAACATTTTTGATACAGGCATTTAAATGTTTACTTGGCTTATACAAACATTACAGACACACATATTTACAAGAGTTATACCAATCACATCAGTTCAATATTTCATATATGTTCATCCAAATTCTAAGAATGTTTCATTTTTTGCATCTTTTCTGCTAATAGACATCACTTGACACCAAATTTAAACACAAAAATAAACATTTTTTTTTTTTAAATTCCAAGAAGAAATTCAAAATACAAGTTTCAAACTATCAGTCTGAAATTCAAACTGAACAAATAGCAAATATATACCACAGCACATGCCACAGAAGGAATTTCTGATTTAACACCCCCACAGGAAATTTGGAAAAAAGCATTGATGAGGGAATATGACATCTTGGCAAAAAGTATTTATGTGGCAACCTACGATGTCACCAAAAGTATTTATGTATGGCAACCCAGATACGGTATCTTCCCAGATGGCTTTCCACTCCTATGGACATTTTTGCCAGTGTGACTGCAGTTTATGATTCCTTCTATGGGAATTTCAGCATTTTAATATACTAGTGGTTGAAATACTCCAGTTTTTCTCATTTTTGACAAAATCTCCGACTTAATTTTCTGCATGCATACAGCAAAATGTGGCTTGCTTAAAGGCATCATGCACCTCATTTTTCCTTCAAATTTTAGAATTTTGGTGCCAAGGTTATGCAATTGTCCGATTTTTTTTTTAGTGAAAAACAGATTGTATATGTGAACAATAACAGCACAAAAAACAAAGAAATATACATGATCTAGATGAAAAAGAAAAGAATGTAAAATAATGGCAGTACTTGATGCTTTGAAATAGATATTAAGAGCCAAACAAATGTTTCTCTCCAAAGCTGGCAACAAGTTCGCAAATGCTCTTGATAATGATGTTGCAACTTTTTGGTAAGGCTGCAGAAGATAAAACAATCTCTGCATGCTTTTGTAAAGTTGAATTTCTTACTATAAATGTTTTCAGAAATCCCAGTTATGATTATTTTGTTTTCATACTGAATAAAGGGTTTTAATCAATGCTTTGTTGCAAAGCAAGTAGATGCAATAAATACTTAAAAAATGTATATTTACTTAGTGCCTATAGATGACATTACAAGATCATCAAATATATCATTATTGCAAGGGTACAGGCATTCAACAAAAAAATTCTCAAGAGGCAGAAGTTAAAAAAAAAAAAAAAAAAAATTGGGAAAATTCATAATGTAGAATATAGTAAATTTAATTATTACATTAATGTTAATTGTGATTTACTTGAAATACTTTATTAACTGAAATTTATCAAATTTATTTTCCAAGATTTCCATAGGCTATGTGAAACAACTGTGGTTAGTCTATATTTAAGGGTACCTCATGGATTATCGCAAATGAAACAACAGCTTGTTTCATTTACAGTAATCTGAGTAGGTAAATGTTACGGAAACCCTATTATGACGTGATTGGTTGCGTGATTGAGGCAAAAATATTTGTAAGGGCTTATTTGGGTGCTAGATGCTAGTTAGGAAGTATGCTGCTTCCTAATTAGGATCCAATTCTAAAGCTTATTTTGTGCTTCACACCGTAAAATGGCTATATGTGAAAAGATTAATCTGAAGTTTCCATACGATTTAGAATGAAAGGGAAAAAAAGCATTAATTGACTGTTGTGTAAATGAAGGATTACTTAGTAAGTAATCCTTAGTCATAATAAGTGTCTTGTAGGTACGAAGGAAATGCATATGGTCGAATGTTAAAATGGCTTTGAATGAGTTTGTCCGACACTACAGAGGATATTTCTTATTCTTATTTTTGCGAATTTATGTGGCAACAGCAGCATACAGATTCTAATTCAGATAATTTTAGAAAGTTTTTGGATGCTGTTAAGGAATTTTGTATGCCACAGACTGAAGACGCAGAAATTTCTAAATAAGTCGATATTTCCTTTTTGTAGTGCATAAATGAGATAACATGCATTTCCTTTTTTATATTATTTCATTGTTAGATTCAAAATGCAGTTTACTGAGATTATAAATTTTGTATGCCACAGACTGAAGATGCAGAAATTTCTAAATAAGTCGATATTTCCTTTTTGTAGTGCATAAATAAGATAACATGCATTTCCTTTTTTATATTATTTCATTGTTTGATTCAAAATGCAGTTTACTGAGATTATAAATTTTTTGTTTTAATTATATTTTATTGCATTATGTTTTGGATGACATTTTACTGAGGAAGGCGTTGTACGTAAACAGGAATGGCGCGAAAAAAATCACCAATTTTCACCAAGGGGTACCCTAAAATATATTTTTACCACATCTGCTTATATCAACATAAAAGATATTATACATGACTTATTTCATGTAACCTCACTAGCTCTAGGAATACTCATCCATGGCTATGATTGCATTACAATATGTACAAAATATTTTGTAGTGCCGAAGTTTGAGTCACAAAGTGCTGCTATAAATATATATAAGAAGTGATCTACTTATTATTTATATTTAATGACAAAGAGATCAGTTTATGATTTTGTGAGGAAAAGAAAGTCTTACTGTGAATATAACTGACAACGGAATGGGACAACCCATGACGGGAAAGTGTCATGAGTACTTCGGCAGCACTTTTTCTCCACACTGCATTGTGTGGAGGACACCAGCTTGTTATAGCACTGAATAGTAATGTGAGATCATCTTTTCTGCTCAATTCTTCTGCTGGGCCAGAGTGGCTACAAAGTCTGACCAAAACCTATGAGGAAAATTAATTCTACACATTAACTATATTCTGACAACTATCTATATAACAACATCACTTTTAAAATCTTTTATATATTACAGAAGAATTTCTTTTATCCAGTTTTGTTCTTCTCTTTTGGTTAAGTAATAATAAGTTTGTTTTTAATTTACTTACATTATTTAAATTGTTTATTTATTTATAAAATAAATACAGTGAAGAACATTTTTTAAAAAACACTACTACTAATTTTGATGAACATGTACATCATATAAATTAACATTAACAAACATGCAATTTATAAACATTAATGGAAAAAACAATTATATACAGCTAAATCTAAATCTACAGCTGGACATTAATTAGAACTAGGCCATTTTACTGGCAAGAGGGTAATACAGCCTGATGAGTGTACAGATGAGATTATATACAGCTACATCTAAATCTACAGCTGGACACTGATCAGAACTAGGCCATTTTACTGGCAAGAGCCCATTTTACAGCCAGATGAGGGTTCAAATCTCAGTATAGAAGTTTGTGAGTATTACTATCTTTGCAGCATAATGCACTTAAAATATGGTCAAGTTGCAAGTCATATCGAGAAGTTGTTAGTGGGGAAGGAGATCCTGAGATCCATCATTCAAGAAAGTTCTCAAAAAATGGAATGTAGTTGAATGAAGTCCTGCTGTCACACATAAAGTACTCAAGGCCTATTTCAACAACAGTTGATAACCTTTGTCATAATAAAATTTGTAAAATTGATCCTGGTGACAGAGTGAGATGAGGAAGATTAACAACAACTAATTAGTAGTTTTTTGTTTATACAAACAGGCATAGCTTAGACAGAACACATCTTGTGATGGTATTCATATACCTAGTGGATGCATATTTACACATCAAAGTCAATACGATACATTGCACAATCAGATTTTCCTAAGAGAACAGTGATAAAAGGATAGCTAATTTGTAATATTTGTAGAACTTGCCTTCTAATTTAAAGGTCCTAATATCTGCTAAAATCATGGTCCTTTGTGTCAAAAAATGATACAGATTGATAAAAATTCTACATTCTATTCCTGAGGTTTAGCATGTTCCTTTTACAATATAATGCAAAGTACTGATGAAAGACATATAATGGACCTTCAGATAGTGAATAGTTTGACAATAAATGACTGTGTTGAACAGCAGAACTCTGTGACTGATTTATATAGTCAATGAAAGGAAGAACATGAACAACAAGATATGAAATAAGATTTCAAGTTCCAATGAAAATCCTCTTATCCTTGATGCCAGTTGTTATTTTCTTTATTTTATATTACACATTGCTAAAATAACCCCCTCTTTTCTTCATTTTAGGAATGTGTTCAATGTTAATGAACTAAAAAAAAATTCGCTTTTTAATACTGCTAAATTAATATATTTTGTATTTTGTTTCAGAGAAGTAAAAATAAATTTTATTTAACTCTTTTCATTGAAATAAAACATGACAAATGAAAATGTTAAAACAAGGTTCATAGCCACATTTTAGTTACAAAAATAAGCACCTATAAGCACTTTTCAAGCACATTTTAAGAAAAAAAATAAGCACCTGTCTAATTACATCATACACAACTGCATAACATTAAAAATTAGACTTGTAATTTAAAATATGAGAAATGAAGTACTTATTAAGAGAGAATAACATTTTCTCAACCATGGAAAATAATTACTTTTTTTTTTTTTAAATTTTAAATAATAGTTCAATTTACAGAACTAGTTTACAATGAGAGGGAAAAAAAAAAAAAAAAAACTATGAAGAACTAAACAATATTACAAGATTTAATGATGAAATTTCAGTTCAAAATAGAGAAAATAAATAATAATAAGGCATGTTTATTGTATATGCTTGGAACCTAATAATAAGTACAATTTATTTTTCCACTCATATTGATATTTAAATAATTTAAATCTAAATTATGAACATTTTCTAAATTTTCATTGTGTATCAGTTTTCTCTTAACAGATATTGCAAGCAAAGTAATTTAAGTAAAAAAGAGGAACATTTCTGAAATCAGAAGACAGAAATTTGCTTCATGCAGTCATCTTTAACAGTAAAAGCTTAACTAACCCGCATACTTGGAAATTGGCGAATATTCGGACAGTCGAGCGTTACTTGAAGGAGCGGAGGGGGGGTAGACTGTAGCCTTTCTTTAGATTTTTCTGCTAAATAAATGCTTTTGACATTTCAATATGTGCATCATATAAAAATAAACCAACGGAACTAAAAAATATTCTGCTAAGCAAGCACAGTAAAACTCTTTTAAGTATTCATAAACAAATCTCGGACTGAACATCAAAATTAATTATCTCTGCAAAATATCGTAAACGTTATTGCACAATACGTGCGCCGTAATTCTTCCCTACGTGATATCGATACGACGATTTCCCTACGCAATCAGAATCAACAACTGCCGGTATTGGGTGAATAAAGAACTAAATAACTGGGGTGTTTTTCATTCTAATTTTCAACAGACGACGTTAAATTTCTGGAATAGAATCATACTTCGCTTGGGTTGGTAGACCGCAGAACTTTTAGTCCTATTCAATCCAGATTGGAAAATGACAAAAAAAAAAAAAAAAAAAAAAAAAAAAAAAAAAAAAAAGGGTCCGTTGCTTGTTTTGCAGCGAACTGTAACAGTTTCAATATTCCAATATTTAAGATTTTGCGGAGAAAGGGGAGACCTCCCAACCTTTGTACTGTACAATATATTGGCCCAAAAAATGAAATTATTTTGACTATTTGATTACTTTCCCTTTATTTAAGCCATTCTGAATATTATTCCTTAGAAAGCTAATCTGTGTTAAAACACAATCATTTTTGGAAGTTTACTATACTTCAGCAGCTACTGAACTATGTTATTATAAGCATTCATACAAATAATATAAGCATAACGATCATAATAAACACGAATATGAACTGACCAAGCAGAACGAGAATGCAAATTTTTAAGATCTTGATAGAAATTCAAACGTGTGTAGTATTTGGGTGGAAGGAAAAGAATGTCGAATGTACCGGAATTTTCTACTGCTTTGGCAATTTTTTGACCAATAGAACGACGGGCACCTGTCTGTACTTTTCGTGCACACCAAAGGTTATGTTAATGCAGAGACATGGGGAAAAGCTATTTCCGGGAGTATGATTCACCATCTGACATTCTATATTAGGAAGAAAAGTTGTTTATTTAATTTCGGCTTTGGTACAGGGAAAAAAAACACGTTCATTAAAAAAAAAAAAAAAAAAAAAAGCACTAAAAGCAAAAAATAAGCACTGAAAACAAAAACAAACAAACAAAAATAAAAAAGGCTTTAAAGAAAAAGTAAGCACCTATAAGGGCCTTTATATTTTATTTTCAAATATAAGGACTTATAAGGACTGCTACGAACCCTGTAAAACACTGCAATTTTCACTGCAGTAAATTTAGATTCTTAATCAAATCAATTATCGAGATTTTTTAAATACCCAGATGAACTGCAATTCCAGCTAGCTGGATAATTTTAATTCTACGGTATCACAAGCAAGAATTAATATAGTCACTCAATTTAATAGGTCATGATTACAATGCTTAGAGTAAAAAAGTATGAACAAATTACCTGAACAAATACTTTTTGTAACAAAATTCTTCTTTCTTTGGGGGAGAATTCACATTCTGGATCTATGTCATCTGGGTTTTCTATGGGTGGCAAATCAAAAAAGAGATACAGGCACTTAACTAATGTTGAAGGTAATGAGGAGGCAGTCATTATATCAACTAAAGGAGCATCACCAGCAGCCAAAAGATTCACAGCAGTCAGCAACATCCAACCATTGCTAAGTTCTTCAGTACTAGAAATTTCTAGAAATTTTGCAATTGCACAGCTGGCTGCTTCTACAAAGACATAAAAGTAATAATCCATTTAAAATCTGACTTGAAATAAGTAGTTACATGAATTAAAAATGTCACAGGTTAAGCTAAAATAACAGTCATTTTATTAATTCTTAAACAATACGCTAATTCTAACAACTGATAAGTATTTTATATGGCATGTTTCATTAAAAAAAATTTTAAATGAATGCAGGAGAACAACCCAAATAAAATGATACTTAATATCAAATGCATGTTAGTTTGAAAGCAAACATTTTTTGACACAAAAATTTGCATAATAGTGAAAATTTTGCTGAATGTACTTCAAGTTTTAACCATACTCTCTTCTTCACTGAAAGGTCAATTAGCCACACATTCTGTAGAAAGCCAAAATGAATGAGTAAAATCTAAATTGGATACCATATGATAGTTAATATATGACAATTTTTGTTATTCATATGGCCAGTATTCCCATTCACAAAACTACACCGAATCGAAAAAATCTGATACGGACACCACATAACTTTCTTGCAAGGGATATTAAATTATACACACTTTTTGCTGCATTTCATTTAAACTTTCCCCAAATTTCATTAGAGGTAGATTTCTTATTCAATTCATTCAGTTCTCACTTTTCAGTAAGGCAAAAATGCATAAAAACCTCAAAATATCTTCATTAAAAATTTAAAAATATAGAAATAAATAAAATGCCAAATACAGTTGATACAATTAAAATTAGAGTTTCTATGTAGAAACATGATAATTCATCCATCAAAGAAGGCATATTTTCAGTACAGAGAACTGGAAGTTTATTTTTTCCACTCGGTAAAAAAACACTGAATTCACATTTGCAGAAACTGAATTCACATTTCTGCCAAATTTCAAATGTAAACAAATGCGGCTGCTGTGGTAAATAAAAATTAGATTTAGCTGCACTTAAGCAACTTTCAAAGTGTTGATAATTAATTCTACAACTATTGCATGCAGATTAACTAAGGCATAGAAACCTTAACTAACTTAAGAATAACATTATTCAATCATTTTTAAAGCAAAAGATGAGGGGGGAAAAAAAAAAAAAAAAAAAAAAAAAAAAACTGAGCTCACCGAGATGAATAATAGCGTGGGTATATATGCATGTATATATTTATATACTTTTGGCATGACCGATAGCAAACAAAAAGGGAGGTGCACAACACATATTATAGCAGTCTTAAATACAAAATTTCAATGTTCTGAAGCTACTCATTTTTGAGTTATGTGAGATAAAACCTACGTACAGACATCACAAGAAAAAAAAAAAAAAAAAAAAAAAAAAAAAAAACTCTTCTGGGTCCATTTTAAATCAATTTTATACTCCGTCTGGGGTGAAAAAGTCCTTTATTCTGTCTTTACATACAGATGTCACGCAGAAACATCATTAAATTGCATTTGATAGTGGTCAAAATGGATACTTTCGTTTAAATATGATAGCTGGAATTTTTCATGTTTACAATACTTTATACAAGGAAGTAAAAATGGAAGATATCAATTTTTTTTTTTTTTTTTTTTTTAAATTATCAGATAGTGCTCTGCTCTATTTTACATACTGGGAAGGAAACAAACTACACCATCTACATGGGAAAGGGGAGCAGAAATTATTCTCAGATTAAGCTGCTTGAAAGCAGGACAAAGTAGTAAATAGAGCTTCTATCATTAATATTGTTAATTTTATATGACAAATTACTTCCAGATTTATATTATCTAGCATGTCTTTGCAGTCAAAATGTGCATTATTTGTGTACACACAATGTAAATACAGCCATATACATAATTATTCTTAAAATATTATACATACATTAAAGCAGAAATAATGCATTCATATATGTATATATATATATATATACCAGTGCTTTGATTTGAGGCTCGTCGGCGTATTTCTGATACCATAAGTCTTGAAACCAATTGGCAAAACGTTAGTATATCGGAAAATTTTTCCATCATATCAGAGGAGGGACAATTTCCAAATACCTATCAGAAGAAAAATACATATCAAACAGAAATAAACTAAACTATAAAAATCAAACAGAAAAAAAAAAGGAGAAATTCAAATGCATATATTTTTGAAATATTAAAATTTTATAATGCAAAGCATATAAGTGACAAAATTTTAAAATCAGGTTACAGAAAATCATATTTGCCTTATACATGACAATCCATAATTATCATTAAAAGCTGAAAGCAATTCTATGACCAGTAAGAGATTATAGTAATTAATAATAAAAAAGAAATTTAGCATTCTATTATTAGGGTAATGATTTTAACGTGGCCCTAATTTAGCATAGGTGTATGACAAGAAATAAATGCAATAATCATACATTTAAAAACTTAATTAGGGAAAAAACAGAAAATTAAATTATTATACCTTACAAAACAATGGCAGCATATTATAAAGACGTTGCTCCTGTTCATTTTGACTTAAAGGATGAGCAGGGTGGGCAAGTTCACTAAACAGTTTGTGTAGGTGCATAAGACCTAATGCAGTATGTTGTGATGATGGAGGTGGATCTTCTCCCATGGCCGCACCCCTCGAATGACCGACAAGCAATTTGCGCATGATGTTCATCTTTGAACATTAGGCTACACAAAAAGAAGAAGAAACTAAATTAAAAGCAAAAATAACAATAAAATGTAAAACAGAAACAGTTTAGTTGGAAGATTAGAATACTACATAATTTATTACGTTAAGTAATACTATAATGGACATAAATAGTTTTTTGACTTCAAAAAATTATTAAAAATCATAACCACTCTGTATGCACCCCCATAATGTTTAAAAATACATTAGAAAAACATCCCTCCGGCCTTAACGTTTACACTACGAGAAAACATTCTTACCTAATTTTACCTCCAGTTTATTTGGTATATCTATGGTTAAAGTGGAAAGATAGGTTTGCTGGTACTTTTTCATTAAAAGCATGCCATGTAGCATTTTTTTTTTTTTTTTTTTTTTTTTTTTTGTTAGCATTTCTTTGGCACAAGGCATTGCCAGTTTGATTGATTTGGTTTCTTTCCCGGCAATAACTGCCTTTATAACCATCGCTCATGTGACATTTTTTACACAGTTTTTTTTTTATTATTATAACAAATTCCACATTATTATTATTATAACAGATTCCACAACTTGGAATTTGTCAAGAGATGAAGAAGCAGCCATTTTCTTACTCCAAGGAAAAAATGTTTTTCAGAAAAAAAGATTGCATTCAAATAACCACCTCATGAAACTAATATACAATTTGAAGCTGAAATGGTTATGCAACGTTTACTCATGCCGGGGGGGGGGGAGGCTACAGGTGGTAAACATGGTTTATAGGATCAAATACTCTTTTTTTTTTTTTTTTTTTTTTTTTTTTTACTGCCGTATGATTCATTTACTAATAGTGTTAGGAGTTAATGTCTATTGAGTTTTGATAACCAAAACTTCCCCTGAATGAAACTGATTGAGACTGAATGGGCAATATACTATCTCCAAGGGATGGTGATGCTCCTGCATAGTGACATATAACTATTCCGGATCACTGCGTTTTGTCTACAATCAAGACAAAGGCGTAAGGAAAGAAATTAGCAAAAAAGTGCTATGATGACACTAATGAAAATGCACAAAATGGCTTTAATGGGAAAAGTACATATTATCCTTCACATTATACAGTCCAGTCATATTAATGTGAATACTTGTCAAAAGCCAGAATAACCACCTTTCACAGTGCAAATGTTGCTTGATGTGCAGGAAGAATCAGTGAGTTTTGGAAGGTGTCAGGACAGGGATGTGAAGTCATGGCAATTCTAGTGTCATGCCTAGTTGCGCTTGGTTGCAGTTTCATTGCACAAACAACTAGATGGAGGTGGTCCTGCAAATTCTCAATTGCGTTTAAGTCCAGGGAATCATGGTAAATTCATTCTAGTGCTCTTTGAACCCCACACGTCACACTGTCTTGCTGGTAGATGCCATCATGCTGAGGAAAAGCAATCTGCATATAGGGATGGACATGGTCCGCAAAGAGAGGCATACTTCTGTTGACTCATCATGCTCAATATATAAAGAATATTGGAGGGAAGCAGAAAACATTGCAGTCGTTGACATATTGCAGAAATGGAGCAATTTATCTGATGCCAGAAAGGGTATGAACATTGATTTCCAAACCAAGCATAGAAGAAGCATTTCCAAAACAACTAATTTTTAAACTATTTACATCATGCTGGAGTAAAAGTATACCACACATGACTCTCCAGACACACAATGATGAGTGAACCAAGGAAGGCCACGAAAACATTCACCAGATCATATTACTTCCTCCTCCAGCAATTGTTGTTGCAGACTGTTTGTTTTCAGACGTTTCATGGCATATATGCAAATGTCTGTCAATTGAGCATAAAACATGATTCATCAGAAAAGACATTTATCGCCACTCAGTAGATGTGCAGTTGGGGTACCAGCGTACAAATTCCACCCTTCCCTCGAACAACAATCAGCATAGGTGCATTAACCAGGCATCTGATGCATAGGCCCATGCGCAGTAACGTTCGTTAAACTGTTCGGAGGACACACTGTTGGTAGTCGCTTGAGTCATCTTGGCAATCAATTGCTCATCAACTGCATGTTTATTTGCCTGAATGCATCTTTACAGCTGTTGTTCACATTTGTCATCTTTGGTCTGTGGTGCACCACATTGTCATATTGCTGATTTTAGACAGTGCCTGTTTGCCATGTGTGGTATACTTTTACTCCAGCATGATGCAAATAGTTTAAAAACTAGTTGTTTTGGAAATGCTTCTTCTATGCTTGGTTTGGAAATCAATGTTCATACCCTTTCTGGCATCAGATAAATTGCTCTATTTCTGCAATATGTCAACGACTGAAATGTTTTCTGCTTCCCTCCAATATTCTTTATATATTATCCATTACATTGCTAGTGCTGCCACCTGCCTTTTGTGATTGATTATTTCAGGTTGACGGCGGAAGTAGGTGTTAGTCATATCAATGTGACTGGACTGCATACATACATTGAATCCTCTAGAAAGTTCTGCAGGTAACTCCAGCCATTTAGAGAGTGTCGAAGAGAACTGAAAGAATGAAATCCAAAGGGGATAAGATCTAGTGAATATGGCCTGGTGAGAGATGATACAAAACACATCAGTTATATTTAATATGTCTGTCTGGCATTTATCAAAATGCATAGTCGAGCAATGACATGATGTTACACAACACATCGACAAGTGGTCAGTTCTAAATGCTTTGCTTCGACTGTTTTTAAAACTGACATTTGGTAGAAATATTTTTCTGAATTTATTATTTGCTTTGACAATAATTCATAAGATACCTTTTCTTTGTAATTCCATCAAACACAAACCATAACTTTTTTGAGATCTAGCACACCTCTTGATATTACTGATGGGAGCTCTATTCGCTTACCCCATGATCTTTTTCTTGTAACATTGGTGCATAGTTGCCACTTCTCGTCTCTAATAATAAGTCATTTAAAAAAAAAGAGCCTCTTCATTTATTTTCAGGGAAGAATTGCACAAAACTCCAAGCATATTCTATTTTGTTAATGTATGAAGTATCCACAGGTTATAGTAGCTTACATACTAAATCATTTGGAAATGATAATAATTTTTTTGGGGGGGATATAATTATTTGTTTGTCCAATAATTGCTTCATTGTATGAAGTGCATTTTCAGCATTAGTTTCTTTGAACAGGTTCTTGTTCACAGAGAACTGCCGTCCAGAGCAGGCACAATCTATGAGGCTGAAATTTCCATGAATAACTTTTCAAACCACTTTCAAACTGTGTCACCAGAAACAGCACTTTGCCCACATATATCATAAATTTTATGAGCAATCTAGCAAGTAATTTTTCATTGTTTTTAAAATACAAGAGACAAAATTGAACATTTGGGTACTCCATTCTTAGTACAGTATGGAAACAAGTATGATGTCACAACATAAGCAGAAATGACGATTAGAATAGAGAGAAAGGTACTCCTTGTATTAAGTTGTTTCATTTATTGCCAAGTTGTTGTTTCATTTATGGTAGCCTGAGTAGTTGAATGTTATGGAAACCCTACTATTTAATCAGTTGCATGATTGCAGTAAATTCATAAGGGGTTGTGCGTGTGTGTTGGTTAGGAAGTATATTGCTTGTTTTGTGGTTTAGATGGTAAAATGGCTGAATGTGTAAGATTAATTTGAAGTTTCTGAACGATTTGGAAAGAATGGGGAAAACAGCATTACTTGACTGGTGTGTAAATGGAGGTTTACTTAGTAGCCATTATTAAGTGTCCTGTTTGTAGGAAGGAAATGCGCATGGTCGAAAGTCGGATGATAAAGGGCGCTATGCAGGCTGTTTTTTACTCTTATTTTGTGAATTTATGTGGTGTTGCCAGTATACAGATTCTAGTTCGGATAATTTTGGGAAGTTTTTGGATGCTGTTAAGGAATTTTGTTTGACTGAAGACATGTTAATTCATAAATGAATTTTCTTTTTGAATTCATAATTGATTCATAATTGAATTCATAATTTTTGAATTCATAATTGAAATTTCTTTTAATGTTATTTCATTGTTTGGTTTAAAATGTAGTTTATTGAGATTACATATTTTTTTGTTGGCTGCTTCATTGACTTTTTAAGTGAATATAGTTCGATGTTTATATGGACAAAGTCAAGGGAGTGTGCAATGCCTAGTTTGTGCAATTCTCTAATTTTTTTTTTAAAGTAAAAATAGGTTGATGTGTACATGGATAAAGACAAGAGAGTGTGCAATGCCAAGTTTGCGCAATTCTCTGATTTTTTTAAGTGAAAACAGGTTGTTGTGTACATGGATACCGAGTTTGTGCAATTCTTTGTCTTGTTATTTTAGCTTTGTGTAGCAGTGATCAAATTAACAAGTCGAAGAATTGCACAAACTCGGTATCCATGTACTGCAAAATATCGCCAAGGGGTACCCGTAAATATATTTTTGCCGAAATGACTGTATTTAAATATCCTTCAGTCAAGGTCAGGCCTTACAAGTAGTAACAAAGTAATTAGAAAAGCACACATTTTGATCTGAAAAACCACAGAACATTACAGATCACCCTCTACATACATATATACAATATACATATACTTGGTATAGATGTGGTAAGAGTATTAGATAACTTCCTGCATAATAAAAGGTGAATTTGGCAGTATGTTCAGAAACTTTTACTGCTATATTTCAAATTTACATTATGGCTAGAAATGGTATCAAAGAGAAAGTTAAAGTACATTTTTAATAAGGAATTTAATTCTGAAAATTAAAATTGTTCATCAGATAATGATTCAGATTTAGATATTTGTTTTAAAAATTCAGAAGATGAGTGTAGAGATTTCAGCTGTATGAAATGCTGCATTTTGTACCATTCCGTGTTTCAAAGTCTACCACCTGTTTTTAGGTGTATATATTATATTATATATATGCAGGGTGTTTCAGCACAGCAGTTACAAGCTTCCAGAGTACACCTAGATGATGGAAAATCACATAGCAATGCATGGTCAGGAACACTCTCCTGGCACGATAATGACAACACAAAACACAAGAAGGAAGGTCATGAACAGGGT